GACTGTGAAGGGTTAGTGCAGGCCGGTGTGTGTGAGAGATGAGCTTTGAGGACTGAAGTGTGTTTCTAATGTGTGGTATCTGAGGGCAGAATTAATATTAGTTTAGTGTAATTACGCATGCACACCATACGCTCGTTACCCACCGGCTACACATCAGCTAATTACTGCACCTTCCTCCAGCTCACTGCTAATACAGCTCAGACACAAGTGCAGGGGCTGCGGAGGCTGAACATCTTAGGACTGAGTGTGCTTTAAAAGAAGGGCTCATAATAATAATAATAATAATAATAATAATACAACCCCATTTCCAAAAAAGTTGGGACGCTGTACAGAATGTAAATAAGAATAGAAAGCAATGATATGCAAATCATGTAAACCATATATTTAAATGAATGTATATATATATTTAAATATATTTAAATGTTTCATCACATCTTTTAACAACACTCTGTAAGCGTTTGGGAACTGAGGAGACCAATTGCTATAGTTTTGAAAGTGAAATGTTTTCCCATTCTTTTTTGATACATGATTTCAGCTGCTCAACAGTTCAAGGTCTACTTTGCCGTATTTTTCATTTAATAATGTGCCAAATGTTATCAGTGGGTGACAGTCTGGACGGCAGGCAGGTCAGTTTAGCACCTGGACTCTTTTAATATGGAGCAATGCTGTTGTAATACATGCAGAATGTGGTTTTACATTGTCTTCCTGAAATAAGCAAGGCCTGAAAAAGATGCTGTCTGGATGGCAGCATATGTTGCCAGGTATATAGGTATATATTGTTCAGCATTAATGGTGCCTTCACAGATGTGCACGTCACCCATGCCATGTGCACTAATGCTGCCCTATACCATCATGAATATTGGCTTTTGAACTGTGCACTGATAACAATCTGAGTGATCTTTAGCCCGGAGGACACAGGGTCCATGATTTCCAAAATTAATTTCAAACTTTGATTCGTCGGACCACAGGACACTTTTCCACTTCCCCTCAGTCCATTTTAAATTAGCTCGGGCCCAGAGAAGGTGGCAGCATTTCTAGATCCTGTTTATATATGGTTTCTTCCTTGCATTTTAGAGCTTTAACTTGTGTTTGTGGATGCAGTAGTTTTCAGAAGTGTTTCTGAGTCCATGCAGTGATTTTCACTACAGAATTATGTCTGTTTTTAATGCAGTGCCATCTGAGGGCCCAAAGATCACAGCCAGCCAATACTGGTTTTTGGCCTTGTCCCTTGCATACAGAGATTTCTCCAGATTCTCTTAATCATTTTACGTTATTATGTACCGTAGATGATGGAAAGCAAAAGTTCTTTGCCATTTTATGTTGAGAAACGTTATTCTTGAATTGTTGCACTATTTGATCGTGCAGTCTTTCACAGAGTGGTGAACCCCTCCTCATCTTTACTTCTGCAAGCCTCTCTGAGATGCTCTTTTACACCATATCATGTTACTGACCTGTTGCCAATTAAACACCAGGTGTTCTTTAGCATTAAACAACTTTACTAGCCTTTTGTTGCCCCCTGTCCCAACTTTTTTGTAATGTGTTGTTGGCATTAAATTCCAAATGGGCATATATTATTCAAAAAAACAATAACATTTCTCAGTTTCAATATTTGATATGTTCTCTTTATACTATTTTCAATTAAATATAGGTTTTAAATGATTCACACATAATTGCATTTTGTTTTTATTTACATTTTGCACAGTGTCCCAACTTTTTTGGAAATAGAGTTGTTATTATTATTATTATTATTATTATTATTATTGTTCACAATCTTCACAATATAGTGATTAATTAATTTAAAAATAAAAATTAAAAGAAAATCATCTAAAAGTAAATTAAAATAAAACCTCTCTCTTTTCTCTCTCATCTTGCTTTACCCCATCTCTATCTCTCTCTTCTAACTCTACCTCTCTGCTTCCTCTACCCAGTTTATCTCTCTTTTCTCCCTCTCTGTCTCTCTTTCTCTGCCCGATCATTCTATCAACCGTGTTGTCTTTTCTTTCTCTCTCTCTCTCTCTCTCTCTCTCTCTCTCTCTCTTTAATTTGAGCTGTTATTCTGGTTGAAAAGTCACGCTTTTTTGCAGGTACAATACAGGCCTTTCAGAGAGAGAGAGCAGCGTAAACAGGCTGAGCCGCAGTGCTACAATGGCAGCCTTCACTTCAGCCAATCAGATTTTGACAGCAGCTACAAAACAAAAAGACAACACAGGACTCATCCGTTTCCCCCAAAAATCCTCTCTCTTCCAAAAAGGAATGAAAGAAAGAACAAAAGAAAGGAGGAGAGGAAGCTGGCATGGCCTCATTGCAGATAGTGGGTGAAAACGTTTTTGTAAATGTAGCAGAAAATTGGAGTTATACTGATGATATGGAAAAAAACTAGTGGGAAGGAAAAACCCGCCTGCTAATTAGAATATTAATCACCATCCTTTTGAAACCACCCAAGGTCGCCAGCCAAGGATCATTTCCACATTTCCTGGCTCTGTCCTTGTGGCTGAGGCGCTCAACGCGAAAATAGAGAAGAAGTTGATAAATTGGTGGAACCATGTGAAGAGTCAAGGCGTCTAAATCTAATCTTGTACCTTCAGTCATGAGAAAAACGACCGAGCAGTCCACCAAATTTTGTCTCTTGTTGACAAAATAAAGGAAAAAAACTTTAACCCTTTAATGCAGAGGCAAAAACATCACATATCTCCACCTTTCAATGCTTCAACAGGCTTAAGTTCTGGGTATTAAACAAGTACATATGAGGGACAAACTCCACAGTACTACATTATTATTTTGTGTAGTATGAGGGTAAGATCTACTGCGGTTTGACTAAATGACGTTAGAATTTCTAACAAATTTGAAGTATTAACTGGGTAAGTATGTGGTACAAACTCCACAGTACTGTGTAATTTGGGTAAACATTTGCAGGACGCTACATGATATAAAACATCATAAAGTATAAAGAGTCTTATTCAGTATGTAGGAGTTTATAACCTATAACCTAAACTGAATCTGGGCTGTAATAAAGCAGTGATTCCTACTGTAGTTTTACTGGGTTTTTGCTATTTACTTCAGAAAACTTTGTACTTTTGCTGCCATTTTATGCCATATATCTGTATAAATACCACTTTGTTAATCTAAAAGCTATGATGTATTTTATTATGTTCTTTATCAGTATAATTGCTAGAACTTGTTAGTCATTCCAGTATAATTTAGTTAGACTCAATTGAAGCTTAACATGATTTTACTCAAAATAGTTACACAGCACTTTGTAGCTTTACCCCACATTTACCCAGTTTATATATAGGACCTGTTGGGCATTTCTGTGTAATTTAAACTGTTTTGGACCTTACTATCATGCTACCTAAAATAATTATCCAGTTTGTACCTCGCACATACCTGACTAATACCTAGAATTTATTGCACAGTGAAAGAAAGTTGCACTTCTAGATTGCACAAGATTATGTCTCAAAGCTGCTATTGCATTTATTTTGAAATGTAAAGAATGTGAAGGAGCAAAGGTAATTTTTATTTTCTTTGTATCACAAACTACCATTCTAAATAAGAAAACACATGAATAGTCTTCTATATTTTTCCTAAATTACTAATAAATTACTGTAACTCTAATCAAGTGAACATTTCCCACTGTTGTCATTTGCAAAAGCAGCTGAATCAAATGTTCTCTGCATTTTTGTAGTTACGTAGGCCTTTTATATCATGCACACAAAATTTAGAACTACAGTCATTAAATTCTGCTGCTTCATGTCAGTTTCCTTTCTTTCTATAGACATCAACAGAGCTCATATTGTCATTTTGTAGCAGGTGCCCAAATTAGGTCCATGCATAGGCCAATTACATCTATGGACAAAATGAACGTCATTCCCAAAAGTCGTTCCTATCACAAAAAAGTGTTCCAAAATTGATGTTTTGTCCTGTGTACATTTCTTCCACAACTGTTATTCCCCCAGCTCTGAAGGAATGGAAGAAATTCCACAAGTATGTATGCAAGGCAGGTTTATGTGTATAGCACATTTCATACACAAAGGGAATTCAAACTGCTTTGTGTGAATAAAAGTATATTAATTACATAAAGCATAAACATAAAGCCTGATTTAATTAATGCCCTATGATGGACTGGTGACCTGTCCAGGGTGTTTCTTGCCTTTTGCCCAATGAGTGAAACCCAGGAGAATAAACGGCTTAGACGATGAGTGAGTGAGTGAGTGAATGAGTGAGTGAGTGAGTGAGTGAGTAATTAATGCCACTGAATTAAATGAAAGTAATCATATCAGTCAACACTATTATATAACAAAAGCAGCTTCTGAACTCATAGCGTACTACTGCCAAAACCACTTACACTACACACTGAAGGCATGTTAGGGAAATTTTGGTGAGGTAGACAGTCTTACGATGTCCATTCAATGCACAAGATTGTTAGCTTACGTGGACCTAGAAATATGCCAATTTCAACTATGTAACCAACTCATAATTCAAATAACATAATGATATTCGGGGGAAAACATATTGGCTCTGGAGTAAGATCTGGACAGCTTTTGGAAATGCTGTTTGTTTTTCCCACAAAAAACAATTGCTAAACTGCATCAGTGCTATTAGCTCTCACTTGTGGACAATTCTCAACTTGCTAAACATTACTGAGTGAGTCAGTAAGTGAGTAAGTTTTACAACAGAAAATAATACAATAGAAAAATTTTAGAAGGTCTGAAAATATTCAGATTTTTTGTGTTCACACAGCAGAGCAAAATCAGATCTATGTCACATTTAGGCAAATAAATAACAGTGTAACATGAACATAGACTAAATATATTCCTCAGTCGCAAGGCCCCAATTCTCAATGAAAATAAGCAAAATGATGCATTGAGAAGGCATGTACAGGTAATAAGAAAAGAAGAGACAGGCATCTTACCTGGTGTACTGCGCTGGCAGGAGAAAAGCGGTGAAAGAATAAAGGTTAGTCGTTAGTGAGTGTTTTTTTCTGCAGTTGCTCGAGAACCTACCACGTAAAACAGTGAGGCGTGTGGTGGCACTAATCTCTCCAACAGTGTTGGAGGCCACGCATTCATAAATGGCTTCGTCCCGCGGAGTTCGCAAAGGCTGGATTCTCAGGACGGATCCAGAGCCGTCGTCAAACTCTATCACCTGCAGTGGCGAGAGACAGAATATGTTATGGGAGTTTTTTTTGTTCACAGTTGACCAGGGGGAACCATGCACACTCTCACACACACTCTCTGACTTTTTCTGAATTGACGACACACATGGGTGGCTCAGCCAGGGACTACCCATTATCTCAGAAATACAATCAGACTTATTCAGGCAAGTCGGGAAAACAGCTTGAGAATGGAGAGGGTGGAGAATATGATTAGGCTTTAAAAAGGAGGTAATAACAGTGGACGTAAAAAATCGGGAAAAGGCTTTGGGGATGATAAAAGGGATAATAGATAATCTAGAAAAGGTTTGGAGGGGAAAGTGAGGAAGTTTTTGGAAGGCTCAGTATGTTCGGACGCCTCGTGCTTATGCTAAGGTCGTAGTTTTAGTTTTAGACACTACAAATTTCGAAGCTGTGCTGAAGATAAATAATAAGCATTGTTATGATTATTCACATAAGACTTTTTGCAGCAAGAAATACAACATTACTGCACAAAATTTCACTGTAGGTGCACAGGTGTTGCTTCTGTTGCCTAAGCAAGCTGCTTTCTGAAATTTCACCTTTCTGCACCAACAGCACTGCCATAGTTCTGAACAGTCATACTAAAAAGTTTGAGCAAGTTTGGTCAAATTACATTTTATTGATTTTCTATATAAAATAAGTTAACACTCGCTCCACAGAGAACACACTTCTGCATGTTTTAATGAACAATCACTCTTTATTTGCTGAACCTAACATGCACATGCCTGTGCAAAAGTTATGGCAAATTTGATTTTTTATTTTATTTTTTTTTTCTAGCAAATAAATATAATTTTTTAAATCAGATTTACAAAAGATTTGTCATATTTTTTGTTCCCGTTAGAGGATATTATTGTTAACTTATTTGAAACAAGAAAATCATGAAAACATTTCTTTCGACCAAAGATGCCCAACCTTATACAACTGTATGTTGTGCAGCTAATGTTAACTATAGCTAGCTTACTATCTGGGCCAACAAAATCAAGTTTTGTAACTTACAGAACTAATGCTAATGCTAAATAGCTAAGCTAAGTCATGTCACTCAGTCTTATCTGATCATGCACAGATAAAAATTGTAACATTATTGAAATTAGGGCTGGTAGAATGGAATTACATCTTCTTTCTGCTTTTGTTAATAGTTAACACTTTAGTTAGTAGTTAATAGTTTTGACTCATATTACTGTGCAGTATTTTGTGCTTTTGCAATATATACAGAATTGCTACATAAAGATGATTTTTATTATTATTATTATTATTATTATTATTATTATTATCATTAGTCATAGTAGTAGTAGTATACTATTGGATTCAGTCAGCAGTGAGCCATGTCTGGAGAGCTCATTACTTCCAGAGTTAGCATAACTATGGATATCCATACATCCATATTTCAGTGGTGTAGGTCTAATTTCCACCATTCAGATTATGATACCTGGGCAGTAAAGGTACATCTGCACCTACAGTGCACTACAGTATTACAGTAGATCTGACAATGAATTGCTTTGCTAACACTAACTACCCTTTGAAATAGAGCATACAAAAAAAGCCCCCCTAGTGTAAACCACTCCTGTGGATAAGGTGTCCGAACATAACCGAGGGGACTTCAAATTTGAGGATGGGGGGTTTCACTAATGTAAAATGCTCTGTGAATGTTTTGTCTGTCTTTTGCACTGCGTGTTAACCAGTCCCAATTTGGCTAATAGGAGAACCTGCTTGGCCACTTCACTTTAAGAATGGGAAACTGATTCCACTGCTTCGTATCACATTTTTGAGTTGGAGGCTATGAGATCTCGGAGTCTTGAGCCAATCAGTACTTTGGCTTTGCCCCACTCTTAAAGCTGACGTAAACAAACTGGAGTATGCGCTTCGTACAGTGAGTATATCGATGGAACAAGACAGGCACAGACAATTGGACGTGAGCCAAATAAACAACACTGGACACTTGGTTTAGTGTGACGTGATGCTGCAACGGAAGACAGGACGCGGCTTGTTTTGGACGGACGACACATAGAAATGTTGACAAACAAGGTGTTGTTTGTAGCTTGCACAGCTAACGACGCATGCTAGGGATGTATACTCACTTTGTACAGAAAGTTCCTGGCCAGTAAACTTGTGTTTCATAGACTTAGATACATTAAAGATCATATAGCGAGAGTCCTTGCTCTACCACACACGCAGACACACAAACAACTTGCACGCAACAGCCTAAATGACAATGTGTCCCAGGGAAAGACTGCGCATTTAGCTGATCCGCATAGCAGCATGATGCAAAGCGTCTTCGCTCCTTTCTCAGGGAAAGGAAGAGTGTGGATAGGACGGAAGCTGCTGGGCTTCTGAAAGGAAATGAGTTGAAGGAGGATGGCGGCGGCATGAAAAAGTGAAAGATGTGGCAAGAGAACCCCTTTGTTAGCGCATTTTCTAGTGTGCTAGCATTACCATGCAGCACGTGTTAGCGTTCCAGTGCGACGAACTCTGATAAGATTAGATTCGTGTTGCCGTTAGACGTCCCTCGGCACGATAAAGCCACTGCGGACTATCGCCCGACACAAAGCTAGATGCGAACAGAACAGAGACAACGGCAACACCGCTACACGACACAGACATTAATGAAAATCTTATCAGTGTCCTTGTGAGATGGGTTGCTTTATCATGGTGAAGATTAAAGGAAGCAAATAAAAAAATAGAGATTCAGCCAAATGAGAAAGCCAAAGCATGCACTGCAAGAGCAAAAGAAAACGTCCCAAGCATGAACCAATGAACACTCTGCACGTCTCAGCCAAATGCAAAACCATGAGGGCTTATGTAATGCCAAGGTCAAAGCTTTGAGAGTTCTGTTCCTCCAGACTCTTATGTACATTTGTGCTCTCTTTTTGTTTTTTTTTTGGGGGGTTAGTTAACAATCATGCACATCTTGTTTTCCAATGGCCGACCAAAAAGTGGTTATTGGCAAAACGTGTTAATATGCGGATGCAGCAATGTGATTAGCGTAGTTAGCGCCGCTTGAGCTAGCGTGGAAGGACCAGACACAATTTAGCATTCACTTTGTCGAGCATTTTACATCAGAACAATAGACCTAATACCTCAAATCTCTGGTTGCTCACTCTCTTCCCCTTCTTGTTCCACACAATCTTGGGTCGCGGGTCGCCCGTGGCCTGGCAGATAAAGGAGGCGACGCCGCCCTGCACGCCCGTCTGGTCATTGGGCGTCCTTAAAAACTTTGGTGGAACTGTAAAAAAGACAATAAAGAGAAAGAAGGAAAGAATAAATGATAGCCACATGAATTCCTTTATGGTATCATTAGCACCTATAGGGGGCAGAGACCTAGTTTTGTGCTGTTTCCAGCACTTTACTGTTACTGTTAAGAGGATTAGCTTATGTTGCCTTCCCAACAGTGGAACATGTATTGGCTTAAGGACAAAATGATTGACCAGGAAAAAAAAATACAATCAAATGAAAAGAGAGGAGATGCGATCGACCGAACAATTGGACATATAATCCCTCTTATTCTGCAAAGGAAGGACGATGACTGCTGATGTCATGCATTGAGGTTATAGAGGGAAGTGTATGAAGTAGAGAGAAAGCGAGGATAACCGTAAAAAGGCTTTATTTTAGCCCTTAGCAGGTGAAAACATCTTAAATCTAGTCAATATATCTAATAATTCCCACCAGGAAATCGTCAGAAGAATCTTATATGACATTCAATCTATTTCTGTAAATTTTATCTAGTGAAAGTGTCTTATTCCATTGGAAGATCATTTTTCTTGAAATAAATTACATCTGCATGAAAGTAAAATGATCTGCCAGAACACTTTCACTGGACAACATGACTCAAAACAAGTTAAAATGTATTGAAATAACTTCATCTTAGAATATTCTTCTGACAATGTCAATATAAGAAACAGTAGATATGTTGACTAGTTTTAAGATGTTTTCACTTGATAAGATACCATTTTGTGCACTGTGGGCTTCTATTACAGTCAGTCAGATCATAACGAAACAATCCTAAAACTTCCCATTTGCAAGAACAGCTGAAACGATACTGCTTGTGTAGCCTAATGATGGGGACTGTATAGATAAATGCTAAAAGTTTGTCAGAACTGCCCAGAATGGTCAAACTGACAGGTCACTAACAAAAATGGTCACCAATCTCACACCCACAATGAGTTGTGCTCATAAAAATCTGTCTGATTGGCAACACTGACACAGTAACCTGATTTCATAGTTATGTAACAGCTTATTACAACCCAACAGTGAACACAATGCTAATAATCACTCAATTGTGTCACATATTCATCACTCCAGGAAGCCTAAGCTTTTCAAATGATTTCACATAAGGTCGGCACTCATAAGGCTACATGACACCATCAAAGGTTTTCTGGGGCATATGACACAAACTTACAATAACATTTAGAAAGGCTGATTGCAACTTTAATCAGCTATTGTAAAGGCTGTGTTAGTCAATTTATAATGTCATTTCATCCTAGAAACTGTTTTTACAACCGATGCTTCTTGGAACAAGCTTTTATGAATGTTTATATAGGTACAGTAAACTCAGTACACTCAATTCAAAAAAAGTTGGGGCAGTAGGTAAAAAAACAAAAGAACAAAACAGAAAGCACTGATTTGCAAAGTGTCTCACAGGTATTTAATAAAAAAAACATTATCTTAGCGACATTGATTTTTGTAAATATGCACCAATTCCAAATTTGCCTGCAACACATTCCAAAAAAGTTGGGACAGGGGCAATGTGAGACGTGGAAATTTGTGGACTGATCAACTTGTTTTAGAACTTTCCACAGGTAAACAAGCTTTATTATAGGTTATAGGTGATGCCATCAACACTGCGTACAAAAGGAGGATTCATGAAAGGCTCAGTCCTTTATGAGGCAGGATGGGTTGAGGTTCACCACTTCACGGAAAATTGAGCATATATTCCAACAGTTTAAGAACAGTGTTTTTCAATGCACGACTGTAAGGAATTAAGCAATTTCACCATAACAGTCCATAACATTTTTAAAAGATTCAGAGAATCCGGAGAAATCTGTTTAAAAGGGAAAACCAACTGAATGCCCATAACATTCAACCCTCAGATAGCACTGCATTATAAACGGACATGATTTTGTAATGTATATAACCACGTGTTGCAGATATTTTTAGTGGGAGTCCAGCAGTGACACTTAGGTGTTTAAAATGTCCAGCAGCACTGCTGTGTCTGATCCACTCAGACCAGCGCAACACACACTAACACACCACCACCACGTCAGTGTTACTGCAGTGCTGAGAATGATCCACCACCCAAATAGTACCTGCTCTGTGAGGGGCCTGTGGTGATCCTGACCACTGAAGAACAGGGTAAAAGGGGGCTAACAAAGTATGCAGAGAAACGGATGGACTACAGTCTGTAACTGTAGAAGTGGACCTATATGGTAACTGGTGCTGATAAAATGGACAATTAGCATAGAAACAAGGAGTTTGTTTTAATGTTATGGCTGATCAGTGTATATACAAAAAAACAGTAAAGTTAATTAGTTAAAAACATGAAATATCTGGTCTTTGTATTGTTTTCAACTAAATGCTGGTCAAAAAGGTTTGCAGGTCATTTCTGTCTGTTTTTATTTACATCTTTCCTACTGTCCCAACTTTTTTGGAACTGAGTTTATATATGTCAGATGTCTTAAAGGTTGTTTTAGTCAATTTTAATGTCCTCTTACCCCGACAGTGTTATAACAACTGAAGCTTGTTAGAATAAATTTTTCTAAATGTTTATATAGGTATGTGTCATTGGTCAAGGCTTATGTGGGTGTCGTGTCCTTACGAGCCCTGCCTCACAGTGAAGTGTTAACATAAAGAAATAAAGAAGCCTACATATGCTGAAACATGACAGCTGAAGTATGCTAACACCAGCGGTCATGTATTCTAATAGCTTTCACAGTCATTTAACAAATGACTTTATAAAGTGTCCTAGTTGTATTATTATGTAGTGATGTTATATAAAAGTGACCTAGTATTGCATTTATGTTTACATTAATGTCGTGAGCTTTAGTTACTCTGAGCTTTAGTTTAGTTAGGTTTAGATTTACAGGGACAATGCACATGTATCAACGTTTCAATGAAGGTGCCAGTTTGGCTCATTTTCAACTGGATGTACTGGCTGACTTGAACTTGCGTTATGTAAACTTCTAAACTACATTTTTTAAGGCCAATTTGAGACGCATGACGTAGAATAACATCAGAGATCGTCTAAAAATTGAAGCCACTGGAGCTTTTTATGGCAGCTCCTATCACAGTGTGCACAGTTTGTGCATGGTTTCTCTCTTTAGCGAACAGCGCAGTGGGACGTGCTAGCCTTTGGCCTGCGTGGTGTTGGAGTGACTCATTTCCTGGTCACATACTGGTCCTGTCTCTTTCACTGCAGGGCCTGGAGATGCTCTGCGCTCACTCCGTGCTTCTCTGGTGCCAACGCTCATTTGTACGAGGAACATTACAAAAATTGTGATAAAAAGAGAAACCAGTGCGAGTCAGTGCCTAGACTGAACTGATACAAGAGTTATTAAAGCTTAGAGCTCAATGAAGCAACAATCCCGAACAACCACCAAAAAAAATTAATGTTGGTTTGAAAAACTATGAAAAAGTTCTGCACACTCGCATAGCTCATTTGCAAAAACAAAAAAAATCTTTAAAAAACATGTTTTGAAAAGCTCTTTAATGAACTAAAAGAGGTTCTTCAAAAAGCTCTTCTTGGCACCTTTACTTTTAACAGTGTACAACTAAACTTAATCCCTCCTCCTCCATGGAAGGGTCCAGAAAAATATCACCCTTAATTTTACTCAGCTGACATGCTGCCACCCACATAGCATGGGAAACCGGTGTGTATTGTGGCTAGGTCCCATATGTGCACTTGCTAGGCTGTGTCCGAGTCTTTCTACCAACTCTAATTGGTCTTTCAATTCAGCAAAAGCACTGGAGTGTGGAGGCATGCAAGAGTGGAATGCCAAAAATGCAGAAAGAATGGAGAGAGAAAGAGAGAGAGAGGTACGGTAGCAGAGGCCTGTGGGCTATCCGAAGGGAACTCAGTATATCGCATTAGCCGTCCCTTACAAAACGTGTCCAACACAGCGACTTCAATACCGCCATGGACGTCAACAGTTTAATCTTTCTCTCTCTTGATGTCATCACTGTGTCCCTACACAGGCTGATCCCTGATCCCCCCGCCCCATTGGCTGATTCAACTGATGGATATATTTGTTGTTTTTTTGCTGATCAGTTTGTGGAATTACAAAAAGGAAAAAGAAAAAGAGAACATTCCACTAATCGCAAGCAGGACATAAGCCATGATGGTAACTATTACATAACACTACTGTCCTTAGCCAAAAGATATTTCCTAAAGCTACAGTACAAGAAGACAGACCCAACAAAGACTATCAAAGATCTGAGTGCCTGAAATGTGCCTTATGTTAAAATTTGTATATTTTCATTCCCCTTTATTAGAGCATTCAGCATTACAATACAGCACAGTGGAGTTTGGCCTGATCCTCTCAGACTATTTTACAGCACCCTGAGCTAAGGTACTAGCCAAGAGTTAATATATTAGCTTTGAGCTAACAAGCTAGTCTTGAGATAAGAAGTTAGCCATGATCTTTAGTGTAGCGGTGCATTTACTAGGGCTGATCAATTAGGAGAAAATATCTAGTAGCGATTTTTATGACCAATATTGTGACTGCAATTTAAATTGTGATTACTTTCTATAAATTAAGGTCCAGGCCTTTTATTTTTGGCTAACAAGGCCAGAATATGCACTTTTTCTGGCTTGAGGCTTGAACACTGCCAATCACTGCCGTCATGTTTACAGCACATGGGTGTTTGGTTGCTTTTGATGGATCCAAAGCTGAATGTGGTCTTCACACCAGATGTGATGCAGCATGGATAGTAATCTAGAACCACTCCTCGATGCTTATTATTTCACACCGGATTGGACACACGTGCGTCATGAGGCGAAAGCCGTTTCTGTTTGCGTGTTTTCATGTAATACATAAATCTGTATTTTCCATTTATTATTCCTGTAAACTTTATGTAGAGGATATAAGGAGATCAGCAAAAAAACCTGAATTACTGTCGTGACTGTTCTAGCTTTCTCCTCATATGATGTACAGCTATATGAGGGAGAGATGCATGTGGGTTCAGAACAAGGGATTTTTAAAAACTACATTTGTTGACAGTGTATTATAG